AGCTAGTGCCTCTAACGTAAGTAAACTACAAAGAAGACAGTCGAATATTCTTCGATCTATTACAGGTGCACCATGGTACATAAGGAACGAAAACATCCACAAGGACCTAAATATACTTACTGTTGAAGAAGAAATAAAGAAGCTTTGCCGAAAGTACTTAAACAAACTATCCGAGCACCCAAATAGCTTGGCCCGCCAACTCCTACTATTCGGAGGACACGATAGACTGCGCAGACGTGACACTCTTTCTATCATATAGTTTATTTTTTTGTCTTACTCTCTCATTATTTTCAGCTCTTGTATGGCCAATTGAACGTCGCCCACTGTTATACTTCTACAGGTAGTAGTATGCTAAATTGGAAGCGGCTTCTGTGAAGAAATCGAAAAGATTATTACTGTAGTCCGCGGGAAGATTAGTGAAGGAATCGAAAAGACTATTACTGTAGTCCGCGGGATGATTAGATATAACTGTATCTAAACAAAGCAACATTATATCCGTAAGACTATTTCTGTAGTCCGCGACTCACTTAGATATAACTGTATCTAAACTAATCTTAACTACCTACTCAATTAATTCACGGATATAACATTAAAGCATGAAAAAAAAATATGGGGTGATTGTATTGACAACCTCCCTATAAAAAAATATTAGTATATAAGATATGAAACCTTATTGTTATTTTCATTAAATATATGAAAGATTCAATAAATTAAACAAAAAAAACTTTCCTACTTTCTGGAAAAAATCTTATATTATACCTTTACATAAGTCTGGTAGTCTTACTAATGTGTCAAATTATAGAGGAATTGCAAAATTAAGTGCCATTACAAAATTGTTCGAAAAATTAATTACTGCAGTAATTTCACAGAAAAATCAATCTATATTGAGTCCATATCAGCATGGTTTTCGTAGTGGTCTTTCAACTACAACAAATCTTATACAATTTACGTCAACAGTAATAAAAGAATTTGTTCAGCGTTAACTGATACAATTTATACTGATTTTAGTAAAGCTTTTGATAGGGTTAACCATGAACTCCTAATATATAAATTTAATTATATGGCTTTCAACACAAACTTAGTCAATTGGATATCATCTTACTTACAAGATAGATCACAACTAGTTTTGTTTGAAGGATATCTATCCAAAACGATTAACGTTCCATCGGGTGTTCCGCAAGGAAGTCACCTTGGACCGGTCCTCTTTCTTTTATTTATCAACGATTTACCTAATTCCATAAATTGCTCGAAATTATTAATGTACGCAGATGATGTTAAATTATTCATTTCCCATAATTGTTTACTTCAAAACGATTTAGATAGCCTTTTTAAATGGTGCAGGTTAAATTGTATGGATTTAAATTTAAGCAAATGTAAGCATATGTGCCTCTCCAGATCTTCTTCTCTGATATTACAATATAATATTGACGGTCATTCATTATCAACTGTAGATTAATTTGTCGATCTAGGCCTCTTGATGGATCCAAAATTAAATTTTAATAGCCATGTAATAACAATGGTAAATAAAGCAAATGGTGTTTTAGATTTTGTTAAACGGTGGGCCAAAGAATTTTCTGATCCATATATAACAAAACAGTTATTTACGTCTCTTGTTAGACCTATATTGGAATACGGTTCTGTTGTATGGGATCCTCAATATGCAATATACTCAGATAAAATAGAATCCGTGCAAAAACAATTTCTGCTATTTGCCTTACGGGGCTTACATTAGAATAGTGATTTTGTTTTGCCTTCTTATGCTAGCAGGCTAAAATTAATTAGATTGCCTACACTTAAAAGCAGACGTATTATGTTGAACTCCATGTTTGTACTTAAAATATTAAATGGTGATATACCTTCAGATTTCCTAATCTCATCTATTAGAATTAATGTTCCGTTTAGATCTAGTAGATACTACCAATTATTATATACTGATTTTCACCGCACGAATCATTCAACGGACGAACCTCTTAGTAAAATGTGTGTTGACTTTAATTCTGTGTACTGTAATGTAGATTTTGGTATGAGTTTAGAAGTTATTAAATCTAGAATAATTTTATTTTTAAACAATTAACATACATGTTCTATTATTTGACAAACTAGCTGATTAATTTAGATTCTGTAGCTGGTTTTCAATTTCCTACTATATTCCCATTATGATGCGGATCATGATGTGTACGCGATCCCTTCGCAAAGGGAGGTCGCCCCCTCGGTCGGCAGGGGTGGGAATGTGAAGCGTGGGAACGTTCGATTAAAAAAAAAGTCTGAAGCCATCATAGCCTACTGCCTTTGACTTAATTTTATTAAAGGCACAAACAATTTCATTGTAATTAATAGCACGATACGAAAAGCCATCATAAGTCATCCCCGGAACACAAGAAATATCGAAGACATCCACGGATTGATTAGAGACAAAAAAAGAATTCAAGCTCTCAACACCCACATTTTCAACTTCATATTCCACATCGCACAATCAATTTTTATTTAATTTGACCACATTTCTTTTGTAGTTTTATTTACAAACAATTGCTTATGAGCAATAAATTTGCTTATAATTTTCTTTGCTCGGTTCCTACAACGGCAAACAATGAGGTACATTGAGAGACAAAAATATAAACGAGTGATCAGATATGCCAGGACAAAAGAATTGATTTGAAAATGCTAACAGACTCAAACGCGACACAAAAAAATAATCCAACAAAGAAGTTGAATTGTGCGCATCGTCAATATGTGTTGGCATTGAGTTATGTACTACATACAAATTTAAACGATTACAAACATATCGCGCCAATACACTTCAGGTCAGATCATACATATTATTATTAAAGTCCCCACAACCACAAGGTCAGAAATTTCATCTTCCAAAGCTATTATATCCCCACGAGGCAAATAAACAACACCAATTAAAAAAACACTATTATTAACAACAACCTCACAAAAAAACATATTCAACAACACCATGAGAACTACCCCTACACACAAGTTTATGGCACATGTCCTGTGCAACATACAAAAAAACACCACCTCCTCTGCTATCACGTCTATCACTCCTATAAGAAATGTAATTAGGCATTTTTATGGCTTCGTTTGAAATTGTAGGCTTCAACCAAGATTCTGTCACCCCAAAAATATTAAGATTTTTTCCCTCTAAAATGTTTCTTAGTTCATGAATTTTAAATGGATTCTTATTTAAGTTAAAACTTCTAACATTTATATGTCCAACATTAAAATTTTTCCTAAAATTACATAGCTGGTTCGACAAAGAAGACTATTATCACTAAAAGCTCCACCTAAATTAGTTGAAAAACTCATAATGATAATGAAGAGCAAACAATAAACAATAATAAATAAAAAATAACAAAATTGAAAAAAATACCAAGAAAATATAAATATCAAATAAATTATATATACAATAAACTAAACTACTCAACAAGCTCCACTTACAACAGCACATCAATATTCCGCTGTGAAACAGAGACTGCAGCATCAGCATCTTCAACAAATGTATTATTCACAGTAGAAACACCATTTAACATACTGATACACCGGGGAATATCAAATTCATCCTCCCTTCTATCTTGGACTAAAACCAATGCCTTAGGGTTGTCCTCACTTTTAAGCTTAAATCTTTGGATCTCATTGTTTCTCCAAAGCTTTCGGGAAAGGTACATTAATTTAGAGGCTGCTCGGTTATGGTGATAATTTAGGTATACTCTGCTTCTCACACCTACCCCAGTAATATCACCAAGCAACAATGAATTTCGGCGCTTTTGGTAATTAGCCATAAGTTTGTCTCTAACAAGCATCGAATTGAACTTCACAAGGACAGATTTACCTTTTGAGATATAACAACAGTGATTAACATCACTAGGTTGTACATCAACACCACACAATGTTGCTATTCTTATCACTGGTTCTCTTAATTGTTTTATCCCATCAGGATAAGAGGCGCCTTGTGAGGATATCACTTTCGACATCTGTTTCCTGCTTAGCCTTTTCAATAAGTTTGACAGCATCTTGGCAGTGACGGAGTGATTTCTCAACATTCTGAATCTTAATGTCAACCTCCGACCGTATCGTTTTCACAACGTCCTTTATTTTAAGCATAAAGCTCTCAAATTGTTTCTCAAGGCATAACTTGGAAGACTTAAACTCTTTCTGCATTGATCCAATAACATCAGTTCCAATTTCTACGCTGGTAGCATTCTCCGTACATTCGTTGGTTGCAGCAGAAGCACCAGCATTATCATCTTCTTAATACATGTAGGACACTTAAACAAAAACATCATTGTCTTTCTATCCTTGTACAAAAAATTGTGCTGCTCTCTCGACACATCGACACATTTTATGTGGAAAAACAATCCACAAATACCGCATCCGATACTGCTCTGGTTGTCCTTTACAACAACTGCACAGGTAGGGCACGTATATGTTCTTGTCGCAGCTGGCGTTGTCAAAGACACAGATACTTCAACAGTCAAAGACAACAAACACGAAGAGGATAAATTGCACCCAAACACAGAAACAAAGCACACAGCAGATTCTCCAAGTCAAATGCAATTGTTTGTAAACAAAAGCACACAAACAGCACAAAACCAGCCTTTCATCCAACAGCAAAGCGCGGCAATTTAACGTTTCATTCTTCTCCCTGCAAACAGCACACGCTCATTTATCTTAACGGATAGGGATTCAAAAGACACTACTCCAATAACGTCCAACGACCAAAAACACAAATAGTACTGCTTTACATTAATTATTTATTTATTTTTATAATTTTTAAGGGGCCAAGAAATTTAATGACACATCGCTGCAGGGCTCTGTAGATCAAGGATTGTCATCTTCCAAGCCTTCTCAAATACCAAATTTGGAACAATTTCTTTTTTTTTTTTTTGGAACCGGTTATTGATTACGCCGTCACGACGAGGTTGTTACGATACCCGTAGTATGCATGTACCATTGCTGTGTAGTCGATTGTTAGTTATCGATAATTATTTCGAGTTCCTTGTTATTTTCCATTTATTTTTATTCTTGTAGTATTGTGATGTGATTCCGGGTTATAGCTGTATGTTGTTTTTATGAATGAAGTTGTACAATTCACGAAAGTTTTCACAGACAAAACTTTTGAGTACTGCAGGTAAGTTTGAAAATTTTGTAAAGAAATTGTAATTCATTCTGTCACTATTGTATTTAGGGCAGATAAAAATTTGTTGATTTTCCGTATTTGGCGTGTTGCATATTTCGCATAGGTTGGAGTTTTCAGCATTGATGAGGGACAGGTAAGTTTTTCCATATGTATGACCAGTGAGAAGTCTGTTTATAACCTTAATTTCTCCAGGTGACATGTTGAATCCTGAAAACCAATGACGGTTTGGTGGCTCTGGGAAGAATTGTGAGAAGTAAATGCCTTTACTGATTGAAATATGTGTATAATTCTCCTTCCATTCACTCCATAGATGTTGGTGGATTAGCGAGCATCTTTTATCGAGAGGCCAGTTTGTATGACTGAACCGACTTCAGCTGCATGTTTGGCGAAAAAGTCTGCACGTTCATTAGCAGCAATGCCTATATGCGAGGGAATCCAGAAGATGGTGATTTGTGTTAGACTTGAGTTGTTTACCTTTTGTAGAATATTGTTGGCCAGATAGTTTTGGGTATCATTTTCTTTTAAGATCAGGCATGCATTTTTACTATCGGTAAGAATGGTTGCTTTTCTGATGTTGTCTTCTATCATTATGTCTATTGCCTTATTGATGGCGTGTAATTCTCCCATAAGTGATGACATTTTTTCCGATATTTTGAATAAGAAGTTCAGTTTTTTCTTGCAGTATTACTCTATAAAATTCATTGGATTGTGTTTTTTTTTTTTTTTTGTAGAGTTAAATAAGTTTAAGAAGAAAGTAAATTTACTGCTGTTATATTCTCTTTGATTTACTATAGTTTCGTCGAAAATGTGTTTAAATTTCATGTAGATTAAACCCAAACTGGTCTTGTTGGTAGGGTTGTTTGCAATATTTTTTATAACTGTCGGTTGTGACACTTAAATTTTATTAATTCCTTTGCGGTAAGATACTGAGAACGTTGTTCTGGTAGTAACATCACAGCTAGTGCGTAGATTGCCTGCACAGGTGTTGACGGTGTTAGACCAAGATTTCTTCTTAACATCTGATTTTGAAAAGTTGTAAGTTTTTTGTTCAAATACGTTGGCATGTGAGCCATTGAAGAAATACAATACTCTGTGTTTAATTTAGATTGGTAATTATTGTTTTGTAACGTTAACAATGGGTTAACGCATAATTAATTTGTAAATGATTAACCTCGTTTAGATCTGTCAACATAAATGTAAACAGATTTCAACGAATGGCGAATGGCGCCAAAGCCTCCACCTTCCTTCATGTCTTGATCGTTGGTTTTTTTACACTCGTCTCTTCTATCTCTCGATACGAAGTCGCGCTCCCCCGCTATTGTGCAAATCAGGTAATCTGTCTTACCACTTATTATTATTTATTATTATTATTAATAAATACGGCCTTTGCCATTATTCTTAAAACTAAAACCCCCCTATTGTGTTTTTATTCTATTTTGTTTGGTTGAGCTTTGCATCTTTCCCCGCATTGGCGCAAACATTGGTCCATTCGTACCGGATTACGAACGAGCTGTTGGTAGAAGAAGTAATCGTTTTCTTCTTTTTTTCTTTAATTGCAAAACTAAACATCATCATCACCATCAATACAGTCCACCACATCATCTTCTTATCATCATCATCGTGTTTCCATTAAGAACAAACAGGTACGTACAGTGAAAAAAGTGCCGGTGAATTTAAATAAATAATATTCTTGAAAAAAAAAGAAATATCGAAACAAATTGTGTAAAAACAACAACAATCGCGCCGTTGATATTCTGTGTGGCCGTCTTACAACGCGTCGCTTACCCCGCCCCCTCCGTCTAGTTTGCAAATATTGTTTTGCCGACGGCAAATTGAAAATAAAGAAAAATCAAAATAATTGAAGAAAAAGTGTATTTTTTGGTATCTTTGTCGAAAATAAAATATTGTTGTGGGGTATCATTTTAATGTGCATAAAATTCCCCATCGATTGGTATAATTGAAATTTTAAAATTGTTAAATTTTTTGCAAAATTGCATTTTTAAGATTTAAAAAATTATTCACAAATCACCCCCATAAAATACACTTACTTCAATTACGTTGATTTGTTTGTTGTTGTTGCGCGTTAGCAGTCATCATTTGTGCTTAGTCGGTCAGCCGCTTAACACAAATACACATACATACGTTTGGTATTGTCTGTTGTGTTACAGGTGACCCTCGATAAACGCAACTTAACATATTATACAGGTGACCCTCGATACACGGAACCAACATAAAATATTAACAAATTTCAAATTTTATTTTTGATTATTATTGAATGATAATTGGGTGTTAGAAAACGACGTTTTTGGAAAAATTAATAACGCGTACACCCTACGATCGTCAATACGACTTTTTTAAATAAAAAGTGTTAAAATTGATATTTTTCGTTTGGAATTTCAAAATTTTAATTACTTTTGGAGATTTTAAATAAAATTTTTATTTTTTTTAATTTATTTTTTGAGAATACGCTACATTAGGTAGTTGGATTGCTTAAATAGTAGGTTAACTGTGGAAATAAAAATAATAAAATCTCAATATTTTCGGTAGAAAATAATAAAAAATTGAATATTTTGAATTGTTTGTGCGCGAAAATACGGTTCTTTTGAAAACTTACACAATTTAACGAATTTTTTATTATTTATTGATATTTTTTGGATATATATTTGAAATTTTTATTATTTATTGGAACATTTTCACATATTTTTCATTGTATATTTGCATTTGGTTGCTAAATATCTCATCAGAGATTACAATTTTGGTGATTTTAGACCGGTTTTTTGATATTTCACTATTGTGTGAGAGGTTCAAGGCATTTATTTCTCGGAAAATTTCGATTTCTTTGGCCCTATAGTGCGGTTTTGTTAGATTTTCGGAAGCTTTTCGGTATTTTTCTTGAACTTTGGAAAAACTCGGTTGATTTTTTGAAACTTTTGGAGTTTTTGTATAAACTTTTGTGTTTTCTTCGTATATTGTGCGAAGAAGAATCAGTAATTCGTGGATTTTGTATAAATTATCTGAGCAAATCGTGCTTTAGTCGTTCCCTTCTTGCTTTTTGTAGTACAGATTTCGGGAAATTTATTCACAATGTCATTTACCCCAATTGATATGTTCACTAGAACTTCGGATGCGGTCATCCAGTTTAATGCTCGTTTCAATACGACGCGTGATGACCAGCTCGATATTCATACGCTACAGTCTCATCTTAGTGCATTAGAAAAACTTTGGACGCAAGCACAGGACAAATTTGAAAAGTGCTGTGACTATATGATGTCGTCAGTAGAAACGACGAAAGAAGTTATCGATGCGGTTGATCAGAAATACAATTCGTCATTTCAAATCTATGTCGACTGCCAGTCCGCAATTAATAGAAAGCTAGGGCAATTCAAAAAATATCGTACTTCCTCTATTAGTGGTAGTCTTTGTGGTTCGGTCGCTTCGTTGATAGAAACGCCGGGCGAGACTTCAGCTAAGTCGCCCATACAAAACTCGCAAGCTACGGGCAACAATTTGAGTACTTCGACTCATGCTTCCCGCGAAAATCATTCGCAGATACAAACTCCGCTTTCCTCTATTGTGAGAAATAATAGTGCCAGTTTTAGGACTACAGAGGAAGTTTCTCATTTGGATTGTGTCCATAACCTTGCCCTACCGCCGTGCGATACGGACATATTTGAAGGTGATTTCCACTCATGGCCAACATTTAGGGATTTGTTTACGGCTATATATATTGTTAATGGTCGTCTTACCGACGTTGAAAAACTTTGTCATCTGGTTAGAAAGACTTCTGGTGAAGCTCGCGAGATTGTATCGAAGTTCCCCTTAATTAATCGAAGTTTCGAGCTCCCGTGGAAGGCTCTAGTTGAAACTTATGATAACCCTCGGCTTCTGGTTCATAACCAATTGAAAATTTTGTTTGATATTCCGGTCCTCCATAGTGAGACTAGTTCCGGATTAAAGTCGATCCAACGTGGTATCAATGGATGCCTGTCTTCGATGTCCGTGTATGATGTCAATACGGAAAATTGGGATCCGATATTAGTATTTTTGTGTCTCCAGAGATTGCCAAAAATTACTCAGACTCTTTGGGAGCAGAGTGTTAAGGATAAATCTTCTCTTTCGTCCTGGAAGGACTTGGAGGCCTTCCTCACTGAGCGCATACGTACGCTCATGTGCCTCCATGATATGCGTGCTACAGATCAGTCTAAGCGGTCAAATAATAGTAAAGTTCAAGCGCATCATTCAAATATCAGAATTCCAGAGCCACCGCGTTCTCCCCGCGCTTCGAAAAGTTCAAATTGTTTAATTTGTCAAAATCAGCGTCATAAATTGTATGACTGTCCTCGCTTTAAGAGTTTCACACCCGCTGATCGATACAAAGTAATGAAACGTCATCATCTTTGTATCAACTGTCTTAGGAACGATCATGAAGTTAAGAATTGTGATAGCAAACGTCGGTGTTCGAAGTGTAACAAGTCCCACCATACGTTGTTGCATCGGGATGATATTACCTCTAGTAATTCAAATCGAACTTCCACTGTTACTAGCAATGCCCCCAGAAATTCGAGTGCTACGCCTTCGACTGTCCCCCCTAATTCAGAAAATTGCGCGCCAGGCACATCCGCCGGTTGCTTGCCCCGACAAGCAAGTTTTGTCGAAACGTACCGCAATGGTGAATATTGTTCATCTAGGTGTTTCTTTTCCTGCCAGGGCGTTAATAGATCCTGCTTCCGAGCCTCTTTCATTTCAGAGAGACTCCAAACTCGTTTGAAGCTTCCTGCGCATTCTACGAATGCTGTAATTTCGGGAGTTAGTTGTTCACTCTCGGCCACTGCTAATAAAGCTTGTCGTATACAAATTAGCAGTCCTTTCGACCCTTCGCTGAAATTGGAAACCAACGTTTTAGTTTTGCGTGCCATTTCTGGAAATCTTCCCTCGTTTGTGGTTAATTCCGACTTAAGGTCACAAATTCCCGATCTTCGCTTGGCAGATGTTAACCTTTTTGAATCTCGTCCCGTCGATCTGTTGTTAGGTGCTGATCTTTATCCAAAAATATTGTTAGATGGTGTCGTCCCATTTTGTCTGGAGCATTGCTTGCTCAAAATACTGTATTTGGTTGGCTTGTTACGGGTCCTATCCCAGCCACACAAGTTCGAACATTTGCCACTACTGTCGATGTAGCAGAGGAAGACAAAATACAACAGACCCTTTTGCGATTTTGGGAAATCGAAGAGCCTCCTAAACGCAAAATATTATCTCCATCGGACCGTTTTTGTGAGGAGAATTACGCCCGGACTACTCGTAGGGACTCAGAGGGTAGGTATATAGTTACGCTGCCACTTAAATCTGAGATTAGCGCTATCGGGTATTTGGGAGAGTCTCGCGCGAACGTCCTCAAACAATATTATCGGAATGAGAGTTCTCTATTGAAAAAGCCTGAATTAAAACTAGTTTACGACCAGGTGTTATCAGAATATTTGGAACTTGACCACATGAGGCCGGTACCCGCAAATACTTCTATGGATGTCCTTTCGTGTTATCTACCACATCACCCCGTCATAAACCTAGCAAAACAGACCACGAAACTTAGAGTAGTGTTTAATGCCTCAAATAAAACGTCGAATGGGCAGAGTCTTAACGACATATTGCACGTAGGCCCAACTTTACAACAAGATTTAGTTCTTTTGATCCTCCGTTGGCGTATCTTCAAATTTGTGTTCAACTCTGATATTACCCAAATGTATATGCAAATCCGCGTAGATCCCAAGCATTCACCTCTTCAGAGAATTTTATATCGTGATTCGACGACGAAGCAGGTTTTAGATTATGAACTTCAGACGGTCACATTCGGTGTAAATTGTGCACCATACTTAGCAATTCGGACGCTTTTACAACTGGCAGATGATACTGAGTCAGAATTCCCCCTAGCAGCGTATATTTTGCGAAATTGTATGTACGTTGACGATGTTTTAGCTGGAGCTCATGACATTGAGACTGCATTAGCAGCTAGGGACCAGTTGATTAGGGCACTCTCGTCGGCAAAGTTTAAGCTGCGAAAATGGACAGCGAATAGTAGAGCTATTTTGGATCGCTTCCCCCCTAAGCATTTGGTAGATACTCAGCTTTTATCGTTTGTAGAAGCTAGTAGTTCTGAACCCCTGGGTATTAGGTGGAATGCGCGTTTAGATTGTTTCTTCTTCGAAGTGAGTCCTATTGTCAATAAACACTTCACTAAAAGGGAAGTTCTTTCGGCAATCGCGAAATTGTTTGACCCTGTCGGTTGGTTGGCCCCTGTGATTGTTAGGGCAAAAATGATCATGCAGAAGATTTGGCTGGACAACATTGGTTGGGATGATCAACTTCTGGCAGCTACTGAGGCTGAATGGAGAAGTTTTGTCGAAACATATCCGCATGTTAACTCGATTAGGATACCTAGATGGGTTCAATATGTTCCGGGGTTTTCTGTTGAGCTTCATGTCTTTTCCGATGCCTCGGAAAAGGCATACGCGGGGGTAGTATATATACGTGTCGAGTCCCCCGATGGAAAAATCTTCGTTAATTTGCTATCGTGCAAAACGAAAGTCGCCCCTTTGAAATCAATTTCGCTTCCTCGCTTGGAACTTTGTGGAGCAGTTTTAGCATCAGACCTATCGAAAACTATTGTGCGGGAAATAGATCTGGAATTTAATCAAATTTATTGTTGGACAGATTCGACTATAGTTCTTGCCTGGTTGAAGAGAACCCCCTCTACTTGGACGACCTTTGTAGCCAATAGGGTGTGTCGAATTCAAGAAAATGTTGGCAATCATAATTGGTACCATGTTAAATCTGAAGATAACCCTGCTGATTTAGGAAGTCGAGGATTGTCTCCGATAGAATTGTCCGCCTCCCCCTTTGGTGGAACGGCCCTAGTTGGCTAGGTAAAACTAAATCGGAATGGTCTATTCGTGATCTGGCTCCGATTAGTACTGAAATGGAAATGCGCCCCGTTAAATGTCACTTTTCTTTCTTTCCGTCGACATTTAAAGAGATTTTGGAAGACTTTTCTTGTTTGCGTAGAGCTCTTCACTTCATTGTATACGCATTTCGATTTATTCGTCAAACGCATCCCCGGTATAGAAACCATTACTACTATCCCACTAGACGCATTTCCTCGGCAGAGATTATTGACGCACGTAATTATTGTGCAATTACGGCTCAAAAAATATATTTCATCAGCGATTATAAGAATCTGTTAGACAAGAAGGCGTTAGATAGTAAGAGTTTGTTGGCTCCCCCTAAAGGAGTGCCTTTGCTCTACGGTTGGTAGAATATACCCACCAAAAATCTGTTCATGGTGATATCCAGTTAATGATGCGAACTTTGAGGTTGGAATATTGGATTCCGCGTATGAAAAGTTTGGTTCGGCTGGTTGTTCGTCGCTGTAAAGTGTGTCTTCTGTTGAAGAAACGTGCTTGCAGTCAATTTATGGCTGCCCTTCCCCCTGAGAGAACAACTCTTAATCGACCTTTTACAAACACTGGTGTGGATTTCGCAGGTCCGTTTGATGTAAAATCAAAAATAACAAAGGGCTATGTATGTGTCTTTGTATGTTTCTCTACAAAGGCAATTCATTTGGAAGCAGTGTCCGATTTGTCGACTGCTAATTTTTTGGCTGCGTTACATAGATTTATTGCTCGACGTGGTTGTCCCCATTCCATTTTTTCGGATAATGGAACAAATTTTGTTGGAGCATCGCGTGAACTTCAAAGAAATTTTAAAGATTTCCTCCAAAAAAGCGCTGACTCCGCCTCCTCGTCTTTATCAGACCAGGGACTATCATGGCATTTTATACCTGCTGGTGCCCCTCACATGGGAGGGTTATGGGAAGCTGGAGTCAAGAGCTTCAAGTTACATTTTCGGAAGCAATCTCGAAATTTAAAATTCACGTTTGAAGAATTAGCAACGGTATTGGCTAGGATCGAAGCTTGTCTCAATTCTCGGCCGTTGTGTCCAATGTCAGATAATCCAGGAGAAATCGTTGCATTGACGCCAGGTCACTTCTTGATTGGTGCCCCCTTGTTAGCCCCGCCTGAACCTCTCATCACAGAGCAACCATTAAGTCTAATTAATCGGTTTAGGAAAGCTCAGGCCCTTGCCCACCAGTTTAGTTGGAAAGATGTTTTAGGTGGAAAGATGAATATCTCAAGCAGTTGCATATGAGATATAAGTGGAAATTTCCCCAAAGGGAAATGGCGATTGGCGATCTAGTCGTTGTTCGTCATGATCAGCTTCCTCCAACGTCGTGGAAATTAGGGCGTATAGAAAATGTTTTTCCGGGCACCGACGGTCATGTTAGAGTCGCGGACGTTCGAACGGAAAACGGCGTTGTAAGACGGCCCATTACAAAGTTGGTCGTTTTGACCGACCACACTCCCGCAAACGAATAATATTGTTCTCTTCTCATTATATAGTATGTCGGTGAAAATCTATTCGGAAGAAGAACTTTTGAATGTTGATGACGGTTTTGATTACACTGAACCTCGGCCCACCGATCCCCAAGCTGGAATGTCGTCAGCTGCAGTGGAAGCAGCCCTTGTTGAGCCGATCGCGGCTGTAAAAATCTCAGAACGTGGGTCCGAATCCGATAAAGCGGATTCATCTGCGGCCCTCGCTGAACCGAATCCATAGCAACGGATTCATCTGCGGCTCCGGTTCTTGATTCACCCCCCAAAAATGATACATTACAAACCGAGTCCGGATCTTCGGGTCCATCTGCGGCTCCGGTTGCCACACCTCATTTGGAGGAGTCGGAAAAGAATTTAAAGTCCGAAACCCATAAGGTTGCATCTGCGGCCTCACATAAATGTCGACTTTGTGATCGCATGCACCCGCTGGATAGATGTAGTGACTTCCGGGTTATGAATGTTCACATGCGACGTCGCATTGTCCTAAAATACAATGACTGCATACGGTGTTTATCTAAATCCCACCAAGCTAGGGACTGCCGAAGCAAAAGAAAATGTGCCGTATGCAATGAAGAACACCACACCCTCCTTCATGAAGATACGAAGACCGTGGTTAAACCCACTAATAATCGTCAGCGTCGTCCGCGGACCGAGTATAGGTATCGGTCACGTAACAGTCCGTATAGTCGTCCGTCTGATAACGCTCCCCCCTCGCAGATAGGATTGGTCGGCTTGTTGTCCCTCCAAACAGGTATCTGCCTATCCCCGACTTTGATAGTCAAAATTATGTCGTCCGATCGACCCACTATTGTGAGGGCGGTTTTGGACCCGTGTAGTAGGCAGAGTCAGATATGTTCCTCTTTGGTGCATAATCTTCGACTCCCTACTTCTAGAATCGAAGGTAGCCAAATATGTCGGCTGACCGTTAGTTCGATCTATGACCGGAGTCAGTCCATTTCAATTGTGGCTGTGGTAACCAATTTGGACCATGCGCTTACGCCTACAGCGGTAATCCCCGAGCGCATTCGTGACTCATTTTTAGGTCTTCCTTTGGCAGATCCCGATTTTAATAGGCCTGGTCGGGTGGTCTTGGTACTCGGGCCGGAAGTTTATGCCAGGGTCGTAACTCATCGGGTGCAAGCGACGCCAGGGTTGCCGATAGCCCACTACACCATATTTGGGTGGGTATTGTCGGGCATATGTAACATATAGTGTTACACAATGTTTTTTGAAAAAAATTAAATGAATTGAGAAATAAAAGAAAAAAAATTGAATTAAATTGAAATTGAATGAAAAAAAAAGTTGAAAAAATGTATTTATTATTGTATTTTAGTTACAACATCTCAATATGTTGCAAGGTGGGCGGCATGTTTAATTTAGATTGGTAATTATTGTTTTGTAACGTTAACAATGGGTTAACGCATAATTAATTTGTAAATGATTAACCTCGTTTAGATCTGTCAACATAAATGTAAACAGATTTCAACGAGTGGCGAATGGCGCCAAAGCCTCCACCTTCCTTCATGTCTTGATCGTTGGTTTTTTTACACTCGTCTCTTCTATCTCTCGATACGAAGTCGCGCTCCCCCGCTATTGTGCAAATCAGGTAATCTGTCTTACCACTTATTATTATTTATTATTATTATTAATAAATACGGCCTTTGCCAATATTCTTAAAACTAAAACCCCCCTATTGTGTTTTTATTCTATTTTGTTTGGTTGAGCTTTGCATCTTTCCCCGCATTGGCGCAAACACTCTGTTTTTGAGAGGACTAGTGATTTGGCTAGATTTATTGATATATGTGGAAGTAAACCATGTTTTAAATTGTTGATCATTTTTATTGCATTCAATGAAGAATTGCATGAGTGAATAACTTCCTCATAATGCTCTTTCAGAGATAAGCTGTTTTTAATGTGTCTTCCTAAAAACTTTATGCTGCTGACAGGTGTAATTTGGGTACCTTGTAAGGCGATGGATGGTATTTTTCGTGGACCTTTTGCAAATTGAAACAAATGCTTGTTTTCATCAGATATCCCATGTAGACCAAGGGTATATATATTAAAAAGAAGTTGACTTAGACAACTGCCTTGTTGTAGCCCGTTGTAGATTTCAATTGATTCATTTCCCATTACAATGGTTCTTCTGCTTAGAAAATGTATGATCCAATCAGCGATATCTGTCGGACAGTTAAGTTCACATAGTATTTTGAGGAACATTTCTATTCTGACACAATCATATGCTTTTTCAACGTCTAGAGATAGAATTATAACTTTCTCACCATTGCTTTTATAATAGTTTATGGTGTACAGTAAATTGTTGATACACATTGAAGTTGACAGATGTTTCCTATATGCAAAAGTATTTGTTGGCAAAATATTTTCTTCATCAATGAATTTTTGCAAACGCTCTTTTACCATTAAGTTTATTATTTTAAATGGGACAGATATTAGCGCAATGGGTCTAAAATTTGTGAACAATTCTAGATCTTTGCCCTTTTTCGGTATTGGGACAATCTTTATTTTCCTCCATTCATCTCTGATTTCACATTTCTTCCAAGAATAGTTCAATGCTTTAAAAAAGTTGGTCTTTGCAGAGTCAGATAAAAGATTTATCATTTCATAAGTTATGCCGTCTAGGCCAGCAGCAGAGGGTTTCTTCTTATTTTTTAGCACCAGTAAAAATTCCTCCATTGTGAGATCGGAGCGATTATTAACAAATTTACAGACATAATTAGATGGATTGTTGTCCGTTACTTGGTCTTTTAGATGAGATAGAAATAGTTTATTGTTGTTTGGAGACCATTTGCCTTTAACATTTGATGATAAACTATTTTTGCACCCTCGAACAAATTGAAAAAGATGTTTTGAGCTGGGTTCTTTATTTAAATTTTGTATCTTATTTTTGAATGTGTGTTTTTTGGCAAATTGCACTGCATTTTTGAAGTTTTTTATCTTTTCAATTAGATTTCTTGCGTTGACATCATTGCTACATAAGTCGTATTTTTTTTGAGCAGCTAGTTGAAGTCTGTTGTGTTTTTCCACATAAGAATCCCACCAAGCTTTTGGTGTTTTGTTTCCTTTTAAAACATATGTTGATTTTATGATTTCGCCTTTTATCGCAGATTGTATATCTTCAAAGTTTTTGTTTAGTTGTATCTGACCAAGATTTCTCAATAATTGTTTTTTTGCCAAAAAAATTTGTCCTTTGGACTTTGTTTTGTTTATATTCAAAATTACAGGGTAGTGATGGCTTCCACCGATCATGTTTCTAAAAGTATTTCATTGTATTGGCAAGATTGTGTTGGTGAGGGATAGGTTTAAAAAAGATCCACCCAGATCATTTATATTTTTTTTTTAAAGTATTGTTACCATTGTTTAGGCATTGAAAATTGGAAGCATTAAAGATCTCTTTTATTGTTTTTCCCCGCTGTGAGACAAAAGTATCACCATATTTGGTTATCAAGCAGTAATATTAATTTAGCTAGTTCTTTTTTATTGTTGCACATCTCACTGATTGTGGGAAATATATGGATACCAGAGTTAAATTGTTTGTTAAATTTGTGGTTTGGCAGATGAGAATATCCAAAGGTGTTTCGAAAGGGATCTTTTTGAACTGTATATTTGTTTTGAATTGTTGAAATTGTTGTCACTTCTTTTTTTGGAGATTATTTTATAGTTTTGTATAGATGAAGAGTTTTGGCTTTCGTCTATATTAAATATTTCACTCAGAATACATATGTCTATTTTTTGTCTTTTAAGAAAGAATTCTAAAAAAAATCTTATTTTTCTTTAGACTTTGCACATTATATTGTAATAAATTCATATTCTTAATTATAGTTCTTATCGTGAACTTTCAGATTCTGTATTTTTTATTTTGTGTGTATTATTGGTGTTAATCGATGCGTTATTTAATCCAGATGGGAGCAGTGCTGGAATTTGTTTAATATATTTAAACCTTCGGCACTATTTAGTGAGGTAAGAACTTTTGACATTTATTTGGCAAACTGTGTTAATGTTTTTTCTATTTCAGATACTTTTGAGAAACTTGCTTGTTGGAAAATTGGTTGAGACGGTGTTATTTGAATCGGACTGGCTGTAACGTGATGAGTTGGATTTCTAGGTGACGCAACTTTGCTGTATTTTAATTTTCTGACTCTTTTATTTATTTCCTCATAAACGCTTCTTTTTGGAGTTTAATTCTTATTAAGAGGGGGAAAGGCAGTGTTAAATTCATCTTCTGAACTTATTTGGAAACGGTTTTGGGATTCAGGGTATTTTTGAACGACTTCTTTTCTTGATAGATTGGAAAGCGCCATTATACTTCTTATGTTTCGTTCTGATTTCCATCTTGGGCACTGTTTTGAATCAGTTTCAAAGTGGTCAATACTATTGCAAAGAATACATCGTGGATATTTGCATACATCTTTACACGTTGTAGTTGATGAACTTTCTTGACATTTTTGCTCTTTTGGGCATTGATTGGGGCATATGATAAATTTACCACAGTTTAAATTTTACCATTTTTTCGTCGACCTGCAACGAATTGATATGTGTCCTAAACGTCCGCAGTTTAAGTACAGACGAACAGGAGGCACATATAGCTCTGGTGAGATTTTTGTACCGCACATGAATGTTTCGGTGGGTACACCATCGTATATTATACCGATTTTAATAGTTTCGGAATGTTCAATTTTGTTATTTTATACAAAATAATACTGAGACAACGACCATATCATTGTTTGCTTCAATTTGTTGCTTAATTGTAATGGCATTAATACTTGTTGGTACGTTTTTGATTATATAGAATCGTTGCACAAATCTTTCTGGGATAAACGCTTTGAGATCAATTACTTTTAAATTTGGATTTGTTGCAAAAGAGTTTGCCGAGCTAGCATTGTTGAATGTTAATCCAAAAAGATTGTAGCCAATATTCTTGCATGCATAATCAGTACTGTTAATCTTTTGGAATCTTGCATAAAGATGTAATTCACAATTCTTCCTCCTTGTACTGATTGGCGTTTCTGAGGAGACTAATACATGGAAAGGGCCAGGGTGATATGTTGGATATAAAATGGTTTCCTTGTTTAAAGAGTTGTAATTGTATTGATTTGATATTTCATTATTTGTTGTGGGTTCTGTGTTTGTGTTAAATGCTTTAACTGATGTTCCATTATGGGGTTTAAATGTTTTTGTATCATTAGAAATACTGGGAGCTCTTCTTTTATTTTGTTCCCCCGGTGGAGGAGGTGGTATAGGCGGAGGTTGAGGTTCCCCTACTCCACCCATTGTGCGAATATTAAAAATTTATTTTATCTTTGTGTATGAGATTTTACAAAGAAAAAAAGGAAAAAAACTCGGTATCAATAACTTATGTTTGTGTGTGTGTGTTAGCGGTATTTGTTTATTTGTTATTGTTTTGAAATAAAAAAGCGACCAGCGCGAAAAAAAACAGCCTAGTGTCAACAGATGTTGATGAGCGACTGTGGAACAATTTC